TCATATGATTGTTGGGTTTTTCTCTGTATCTATGAAGCGCCTTGAGGCGACTTTTGTTGTGATTTGGCGCTATATAAATAAAATTGAATTGAATAGATCGGTGGACTGAAAGTTTTCATGGCATAGATCTGTTCATAACTGCTTTCTTGAAAACAATTCTTGGAACCACAGACAGTCGTATCAGATTTGCATTCATGTTAACAATTCATTCTCATAAACAATCATTTAAACAATGACTATAGTAAATTCAGTATATGTAGTAAACTATGATTGTCTTGTGCAAAGATAAGAACAGCTTGAAGGACAAAGTATCTTTAGCTAGCTGATAGTAATGTATAGTTTTACACACTCCTGACATCATTACTTGCTTCTTTGACACTGCTGCATCACTTATATTGTCAAACTATTTAAAACTTTCTTAATAATATGTGATATAATTGTTGGAGCACAAGCTGTTGTTGAAAGAAGGCTTTCAGTTTTCTTTTTTTTATATTTTTGTCATTATTAGATGATGCAGCAGAGAGTACCAGTAAAGCACTAGAGTGAATCGGAAGATTCGTGACAAATGGCTATAGGCTGAAGTTGAAACCAGGCTGCTGAATTTGGCCTTAGTGACATACAGTGGCCCGCGAATGCCATGAACTAAACAGACATCCAACTTTTGACAATTTATCAGAAATGATCTTACTTACCTCAAAAGTCTGCATTGAATTACCAGCTCAGCTATTTTCCCAGTTGCACACATAACCACTGATGGCCACATAGACAAAGAGCACCCTATTTGCAGGTTAGGTTGTTTCTGACTTGCCAGAAAATGCCAGCAGTCGGTGTACTGCATCAAAATTACAAGATCGACCTTCTTCATTTATATTCTCAGGCCTGTCACCACAATTTGTTCATGCCAGAAAACAACTACCACATATATATATATATATACGCACGTAATGTAATACTATGAAAATAAGAGTTTTTGTCAGGCTGTGGAGGTGTTCCTTATGTGGTTCAAGGCCACATCATTTGCATATGCAAATAACACAAGGACGTCCTTCTGTCTCAAATATAATGAAGTATTTAAAGACTGAAGCTGTCAGTGATGTGTTCCACTGCTCTTCAGGATCTCAGCCTGCCTTTTGTCTCATCATGTTTGCCCACTTTAACCTGGCAATACTCACTGTTTTGCTGATTCTTCATGATCAAGGTAAGATTACAAATAGATGTATTATATTATGTAATTCATGAAGAGATCTGCTTTGCCTCTGTGCAGCAGTGATTGCATAGAATAAGTTATATGATGGATAAATAAATTTATAGCATACAGATAAATATTATGGAATACCACTGGTCATGAAGCAGAACTGGTGAAGACACATTGAGTTCTGTCCTCACAGAGTTTCACAAAGGCATACAGGGGCTCCCCCAATAGTGTGCCTTCATCAAAGCATCCATTATGTATTGCATCATGTCTGAACTATAAGACAGTATGTTTTTGTTTTATAAGGTATTTGATTTTTATTTCAGTCCACGCAGGGGAAATCATCGGTGGCCATGAGACCGTGCCACATAGCAGACCGTACATGGTGCTTTTACAGCAGAACAAGGCAAATGGTCATACAGGACACTGTGGTGGCTTCCTTCTGAATGAGAATTTTGTGTTGACTGCAGCCCACTGCCATGCTGAGTAGGTTAAACACACTTTATGTTTAACTACCAGGGATTCTAATGCCCCTAATAAGATAAGTCTTGAAACTGGGAAATATGTTTTATGATGGCTCCATGTATGTTTATTTTATTGAACACAATAGATAAATAAATAATCTCTTTATTGTCACTTAACAGTTTTGCTCTTATTGTATTTCAGAACGTACAAAATATTCCTGGGTCTTCACAATTACCATGACATGAATGGTGTACAACACCTGCATGTGGAGAAAGCCTTTCCTCATGATGACTACGATGCAAATACTTTTGAAAACGATATAATGGTCCTTAAGGTAGGAGAAGCAAATGACTTCATTTATGCTTAATAACATGTCACAAGTAATAAGGGTTAATTACTGTAATGATTTATCATTTAATATATTTAATTTAGATAAGCATCAAAATGCTATAATTCTAATATCTAATAAACCATTTTTTAATCTCTGCTCTTTCCTTAAGTTAAAGTCCAAGGCAGAATTTAACGATAAAGTGAAGTCCATTGCTCTCGCAGACCATGGTGATGGCTCTCTGCCACAATCATGTGTTGTCTCTGGCTGGGGAAGAACAAAAGAAGGAAGCCATATGTCTTTGAAACTCCTGGAAGTTAATGTAACCCTGACTGATGATGAGAGGTGTGCTAAGGAAAAGTTTTACTGCTCTAAGGGCGAGACTGGACCAGGCAAGGTAAGTACTTTTTTGTAACTTAACATGAAAAAATTAAACTTTTAGTCAGAAACGATCATTTTTTTGCACATGTATTAATGCTTTTCAGGGAGACTCTGGTGGTCCATTAGTCTGTGGAGATGGAAAGGCATATGGGGTGGTGTCCACCAGCAGTAGCCCAACTCCCAGTGCTTCATCAATCCATAGGTATACTAAGATACCCACCTACAAAGTATGGATCGATTCCATAATCAGTGGTAATGGGAAATACTAATACGTCGAATGCGTGATGGATCATGTCACAATATTTGCACCACTGAAGTAGATCGCTCTTAAATGACATTAGAATAAGGTTCAATCCCCAAAATACTTATCCCAATCACTGTAAAAAGGCAAAATATAAAAACAACAACCCAAAAACAAAAACGTAACATCATATAGCAAAAAAATGTGTTATTGTGATTACTTTTTAAAGCATCTTTTTCTGTATTCAGTTATTGAGCTTTATTAGATGTGACATGTGCTTATATGGTACTGCTTTGCGTGCTCTAAATAAATAATAATAAAGTAAATCAAAGGTGTGTGATGTTTGCTTTTAAAGCTTTCCCACTGCATTTTCCCAGTACTTGGGACCCCTTGTTTTCCTTCGACAAGAATGATATATCAGACACTAACTTTCATTACCACAAATGAAGTTGAATTTAAAACTATTTAGGGGAGCTTATTTGTACATGTTTAGGATAATATTATGAATTGAGCAAAAAATTGATATTTGTAAAAACATTTTATTTTAAAACATTCAAGTTTAAGCCGACATAAAATCTATGCTGTCATTGATTTAAAAATAAAATACACTAAGATAAACTTAACGGTGATTAGTGCTTTCAGATATTCATACCAGTGTTACAAACCAGGCAAATTACATCTCTACAAAGGCAAAATTGTGTTTTAATATGAAACTACACAGAGACTACACAGAAATACACTGTACTAATGTTTTTGTTGGCTATCGCTTCCGTTGAGTCCCCATGTATTCATATTATATCTGTAGATCAGCTTCTTCTAACTTCGTTCACTGGTCAGTTTTCACATGTTTTATCTGGCACCTTTCAGTTATTATACAACCCCAGCTGCAAATAAATTGGGAGGGTGTGTAAAATGTAAATAAAAACCAAATGCAATTATCTGAAAAACACAATATCCTATATTTTATTCACACTAGATCATTGAAAACGTAGGAATAATTGGGCTCAGGAGCACTTCTGGAAATCAGTATTTAAGAACATGGGTCACTGGGACATTTACAAATGCATGTTAAAGCAAAGAGGAAGCCATATCCAATCCATGACCCATAAATGCTGCCATCCTTTCTGGGGCAAAGCTAATTTAAAATTGACTGAGGTAAAGTGGATTATGTTCTTTAGCTATTAGTAACATTAACAATGAACGGTAGAGGTTTTAGAGCAACATATGCTCTAAAACTGAGAATGTCTTTCAGAGAAAGCTTCGCATATTTCAGCAGGAGAATGCTAAATAGCATACGGCGTGTATTATAACAGCATGGCTTGTCAGTAGAAAAGACTGAACTGGCCTGCCTGCAGTCCAGGCCTTTCACTAATTGAAAACATTTGGAGCATCATGAAAAAAAACATGACAACGACAAGAATGGGACAGCATTTCTCCCACAAAAGTGCAGCAGTTGGTCTCCTCGGATGTCAGATTTTTATGGACAGTTGTTAAAAGAGGAGATGCTACACAGTGGTAAACATGGCAATGTCCCAACTTTTTGCTGCCATAAAATTAAAAAAGCTCTCATATTATTTTTTTTCAGTTTAAACATTTGATACATTATCTGTTTTGTAGTATCAGTAAAATATAGGCTTTTGACAACTGGAACAGAGGTTGTTTGTATTATTTGCATAGTATGAGATGTTCTGTTTACATTCCTCATGGATAGATAAATGATTCAACGTGCTATCTAGTTATATAAACAAAAACAAGGGACTTTGGCCTTTTAGTAAACATGTTCAACCATCTTATGTCTATTATGTCTCATATAAGGATAATTTAAGTAACATGGATGACTGTTCAAATCCTCATGACTAACCTTTTTGAACTTGGTAATGTTTTACCTCTAGTGCCACCATGAGGTGGTTTTCTTTTTTACATTGTTGCAGTTAAAGAAATATTAAGACTACATACATATACACATATTTACATACATAATATTAAATTCACTTGTAAAAAGTAAAATAAAAGGTTTTATATATTTATTAGATACATTTGTTCATCCGTTTGTCAATAAAATGTCTAATTTGCTAACCAGATGGCATTTCAGCATGTTGACAATAAGACTCACTCAAGTTCAAACTGACCATACAATTTTAGAGTAAAAGTAGTTTGAGTGAACTTGAATGTGACATGGTTTTTGGTTCCAGACAGGCTGGTCTGAGTATTTCAGAAACTGGTATTTTCCCACTCAGCCATTTAAAGTGTTTTTCATGATCCAAGCTAGAGCAGCACCTGATGCGAGAGTTTAGAGAGGAATGGTCAGACTGCTGAGTGGGTAGGAAGGAAACAGTTACTCAAATAAGACCAAAAGTCCGAGGCATTTTGTTACATGTAATATTGAATAAACACTCAATAATATGCTAATTTAAAAGTGCTCTATTAACCCAAGAAGCATTACAATGCTGTAAATATGATGGTAATATTTAATGTTATTTCTGGTCTTTCTTTAAGTTGTGGTCCAAGGGAGAATTTACCTTATATGTGAGACTTGTCTTTGGCTGGAGATGAACAGAAATCGCCTATTTAAAACTGTAATGTAACCCTGATTGATGATGAAAAGTGCTCTAGGAGAACTTTTACTACTAGAAACTTAACAAACAACAAGCTTTTGCTCAGAAATTATGATTAATTTACTGTTTACTTGATGCAGTCACTAAATTCTATTAATATACTTTTAGAGATTGATGCTCCATTATGCCATCTTTGGAGATGGCCCAGATGGCCTGGCCTATAGTCATACTAAGCAGTGACTTTTTATTTTGCTTTTAGTGCCACCATGTGGCAGTTTCCTTTTTTACATTGCTGTAATTAAACTCACATCAAGAGAGAGACTAACAACACATATAGTGTTCACTTATATTCACATACTCAGTATTCTGTACACCTAAAAAAACAAACAAACATAAAAACCCTAAAACTTTTATATTTCATTAGTAGCCAGTGATTATCGACCTCCATTTTACACTAAATAAGTACACCCGTTGAACTGCTTAGTAAAGCAATTATCTAATCAGCCAATCATACACCAGCAACCCAAAGCATTTAGGCACGTAGACATGATCAACATGGCCTGCTCGAATTCAAATTAAGCATTAGAATAGGGATGGAAAGGGAGGTGACTTTGAACTTGGCTGTTTGTGCCAAGGTCCGAATGACTGGCAACTGGTCTGAGAATTTCAGAAGCTATTAATTTTTTGAGATTTCTCCACATAAGCTCAAAGGTTCATATAAAAAGATCTGAAAAATTGAAAATATCCACTATGTGGTATGTCATTGGATGAAAATTCATCGTTGTTGCCACAGATCAGAGCACAAAGGCCAGAGTGCTTCAAGCTGAGAGGAAGGCAACAGTAACTCAAATAACCACAGCAGCAGGAGAAAACTACAGCGCTGTCAGCTAAGAACAGGAGACTGAGGCTATAACTCATGTCATATCACCAAAATGTACAACAGAAGACGGGAAAAATATGGTCGAATAAATCTTGATTTCTGCTGTGACTTTTAGACGTAAGTTCAGAATTTGGCATGAACCACAAAAAAGTATAGATCGATCCTGCTTAGGATCAAATGTTCTCAGTTTTACATTGCTGTAATTAAAAAAGCCTTCAAATACTATATACTTGTTCATAAATTTAGATTCACAAAACATGATACTGGAAACCCAAAAATAAAGGTTTGATGTTTTAATTGATGTTTCTTTTCAAATGAGGAAAACTACTTGACGCTGGCTCCTTGTCTAATACCGCTTACGAGGTGAGGAGTCCAGAGATGGGGCTGGAGACTGTTCCAGGAAGAATATTTAACACTTAACCTGATCTCTCATTCTTTTTCAAACCAGAGCAACACAATATTAAAATATATGACAATGATTTGGCATATTTATCGCTAAAAAACAATAAAAACTTTAGAGTAGGAGTTAGTATTTTCATTTAAAATTATGAGAGTCAGTCACATCTAAGCCTTGGTTTTCATATGAAATCAACTTTTCTTTAAATATTTAGCAACTCTCGATTATATAACTAAAATATACGCTGCAAAATTTTGTAATGAGTAATGACTATTAATGAATATTAATCATATTAATAACTGAAGGTTAGAGTTTTCAGAAAGAGCTAAACGCAAGGCTTGAGGCCTCTTCATAAATCAGCATACTGGCACAAGAATGGTGCAGACACTAGATGCCTACTTCAGTTACATTAATGGTGGACTCCATAACCAACTTTACATCTCATTACTGACTCCTCAAATGTGGGAAAAACAAGAATCTTCAGATTATACTTGAAATGTCATTTAGATACATGTGAATGGTCCTTCATGCTTCCTATGAGCATTATCTTAAAACCTTATATGTTCAGATAATAAATTCTCTTTTTTTTCTTCTCATCTCAAGTATCCACCAACTCCACCAACAATATCCTTTTTTCCAGAAAAAACACAAACAAAAAATAATAAAAGGATTTAAAAGATTATTTTTAAAAAGGACTGAAGCTTTGAAAAATCATCTAACTCCACTGAAAGATTGGAACCTACTTTTTAAAAGCTGTTCTGTCCTTTAATATCCAAAATCTGCCACAGGTGTTTACTTCAGATGAGTTTAGGTGACACTGGAGTATATATACCATGTGATTCAAATATTTTCATAATCACCAAGCCATCCAGTGTCCTGTCATGCCCCATGAATAAGGACATTGTCATCTTGGATTCAAGCACACTCATCACTCATCGCAACAGAAGTTCTTCACAAGATCAAAACAATTATTGTACAGCCTACACTACACTGAACAGCATAGTGCTTATTTGCAGTAACCTGAACCTCTAAGGTGACAAGAGGGCCCAAACTAACATAACAAAGGCAATGAATGCTCTTCCTGTTGTGGTTGAGGGTTCTGCTTTTTCCTTTAATTTGTCATCTCTCTTCTGTACCGTACAGTCATTGCCTTGAAAAACAAAACAAAACAAAACATAATGCAATTCTGTGTTATTCCACTAGGTGGCAGTATGTGTACGATGGCCCAGTCCCTTACAGTAAACCGCTTTCTCAAACTGTGGGTTAGGTTAAGGAACACCTTGCAGTTTAAGCCTTGTGCTGCTGAGATTACAAATCAGTGATGCATAAAAAA